AACCATTTTTGTTAAAACAATAAATAAATAGAAGCCTCCGAGAAGAAGAAGAAAATAATATATAAGAAGAATGTATATTTGATAGGTAATATGGTAAACTTTATCTTATCAGACAATAGTGATATATTGATATGAGAAAAATTAGTTTAATCAATTTAATGTTTTTAGATAACTTAGAAAGTACCTATTGATGAAATCAAAATGAAAACTTTGTGGAATATTGTTGGTTTGTGTTTATATAACACAGTGATGGCGCAACAGATTGATGTGGTTATTGATGGAGAAAGTTTGTGCGTCGTAGAATAGAAATGATACGTTATTTAAAAGAAATAAGCAATTTTCATGATATGCAGCAAAAATATGAGTTTTAGAAGACGCACAGTCATTCCACTAGTAAAAATTTAATTTAAGTTTTCAGTTTTATTACACTTATTCATTGTTATTTTAAATACGACAGATCTTCAGTGAGTGGGTATGTTTGTTTTTTCTTTACACACAAAAAACTCTAACATTTGATTGAACATCGAAATGGGCATACTCGCTTATATTCTGGATAAACACACAGGTGACTTTGTATCGATGAACCTGCCACACAATAACAACCGCAGGCAAAAGTAAGCTTTATTTCATATTTAACATAAGAGTTACCTACTAATCGTTAATTTTAGATACTAATACCATAATATTCGAAATATATATGTGTACGAGTATAATACCCACATCATATATAATATATAATATAGTCAGCTCTATGTAAGAGTACTGTCAGGTCAGGACTATCTCGCAATGTCCTTTATTTGCGGGACAAATCTATGCTGTGGCCTCGATTCGTATTAGCCTATTCCTTCGTCGTGATTCGTGCCTTTGCATTGTTCTTTATCAAATGCAAGCTTGCGTATTCGCTATTTGTGTACATTTTCTGTGTACAATATTGTACCTAGCTTAGAGAACTATATTGATTGTGCTATGCATTGCTATTGTTGTTTATGTTACATGAAAATTCAGAAAGCTATAACTACGTAATTATCGCTATAATAAATAATAATTTGATACCTGTACTTAATACCTAGGTACTATATTCTATATACATACATATAATAAGGACTTGATGGAAGTAGGTACTTTTATATTGATAATGTTATATGATATAATGTGATAAAATGAAGACTTGATTAAATATTTTCGTTCCTACATAACCATTGCCGATGTCATTTTGTAACAATTACAATATAGTTATACATAATGCTATAAACAGTAAAATTCAATAGCACAGCGGAATTAAAGCGAATCAGACCATTCAAAACTTTAGATATAGCTGTTGTATAATAGCTTAATTTTAGCTTTCCTTTACAGTTCTTTTCTTTGCCCGGTATCTGCATTCCGCTCGAGATGTTTAGTAATTGCTAACTTTGCAATTGCACAAACGTTTATATCCAGCTTAATAGGCTGCAAAGTTCTGGATGAAGCCATTTAACAAAACCGTACATTAAAGAAGTTTGAGTTACGCGTTGACTTCCTTATTATATTTCTTGCATAAAATTATTTATAAGACGTCGTGTAGAATGAACTGATGAAGTTTAGAAGCAAACACAAAAAATTATAATACATAATATGGAGAGAATAACTACATTGTAAGGAATGCATAAATCGTAGCGTTTAGAACTTAATTCTTTCTAATTACCCCTGAAGGTATACATAGATATATGCTTTATGCCGTATGTACATAGCATATAAACATTTATATATCTTAGGATATGATAAAAAAGTTTTTGGTCTAAGAAACGTGATACTAAAACATTTCCGCCCGCATTAAGCTTCCAGGGACTTTAAAGTATCCCAAGTGTCCTGGAGCCTGAAGGGCCGATGGATCCCTCTCATTAGAGTGCAGGATGCGTTCGAGTGCCACTTCCAAGGACTATGCAACTCATTTTATACGTTATCGACTAATACAAACACTTGAAAATTGATGTTTTTCAATATTTTCTCAATATGTACAAGGTATATTTTTTAATAAAGATGTAGTTATAGCAGACTTCAACTATATAATCTAGTATTTTGTATCGATAATAATTATTATACTTACAGATATATAAAATGTATGTTTTGCGATGAATTAAAAACGAAGCCATTATATCAACAGTCCCAAATTTGTCAACACACAATAGCAAGACGAAGTGAGTAAGTATATGGAATAAACTACAATTAAATATCTATAATGTATGACAGTCTCTCGCAATCACGAATCATTTTCAACATGATTACCACTTGTCATTATTATGGCGATGAAAAACATCGCGAGGAAACCTGTATATCTGAGAGACCTTATCAGGTTTCCTAAAGACATGTGAAGTCTGTCAACCCGCACTTGGTCAGCGTGGTGAACTATGTTCTGATCCCCCTCGTATTGATGTAAAGCCCGTGCCCAGCAGTGGGTCATTAACAATAGTGGGTTGAAAACAACGTATGATATTTACATAGCAAATGCTAGTTCTGAAAAATACAAATGAACATAAAAACATAGTAGAAAACTTACATTGGTATTGTTTTTAAAAATCATACGTTAATATTACTTGACAAATAGAAAACTGATTCGATAGAAGTACCTACTTTAAGTAAGTAGCTAGAGATCTGACATGATTCATAGAGTAAGGAGAAACTCAATCCCATTTAATCCAAGTCTTAGTTGTGCAAAGGATGCAAGAAAAGGCGTTCAGTATCGAGTCCGAATGAAAATTTCTCATTGAGTGATCTATTCAAACGTACAAAGAGGTCCCGTACATTGGTATCGGCCATATCCGGACCCCGGTAGCTTTTAATTTATCTACCGATGAATCTTTAAGAGTTTAGAAGTAGGTCAAATTTTGAGCCAAAGCTGAGTTTCTTAAGATATTCAAGCTTAGATTACATCTTTACTAGTTCCATTACAGTAGAAAAGATAAACTTTATTGGTGTCCGTTCTTAATTATGCGAAAATTTTAAGTATCTATGCTAATATTATAAAGGGTAAAGTTTGTGAGTTTGTGACGTTATAAGGGGTAATCTCTGGATCTACAGAATTGATTTAGATGAAATTTGGTAAGATATATAGAAGGATAGTTTGAGACCCTGAGAACGACATAGGATACTTTTTATCCCAGAAATCATCCCTTATGGGGGTGAAAATAAGGATGAAAGTTTGTATGGAGAATCAAGGCAGGGGCGAACCCGAGCGAGGCGAGGGTGAGTCTCTAGTAAAATTGTTAAGTTAAAACTTAACTTCTTTATTCTTCTTTATATCTGTCAATTTAACAGGCAGATTTAAAAGTCCTCGATGTTTAAATACAGTGTAAATAAGTTCTATAATAATGTTCGTTATATCGCCATGAAAGTAATCAAAATGCCTTTCATTTAGTAGTCAAACCGTGTTGTATGGGGAACCCATAGCATCTACTTTATTTTACCTGCCTCGTACCCGTATAATTTTTTATTTTTTATTTTTTCTACATCTGTTGCCCACTACCCTTTGAATGATGTTCATTTCCCTTTAAAAAATTCTCAACAATGCTCATAAGACAAAAATACATTTTATAGTTTAGAGCAATATATAGTTTAAATTAAAGGTATAATTAGCCGAGTGAGTTTTCTTTCGAGCCCATCGCTTTAATTACAAAAGAAACAACGAGAACTGCAAGAAGTGTGTCACCAGTTCTCAGCGACCTATAGCTTCAGGCGTGGCACAGGTCTATTGTACCGCGACTTTTGAAAGTCAAGTGTTTGCATACACATGATGACGTACAATATAAAACTATGTAAACAAGTAAATATTTCAAATATTTCATAGAAGAAGAAATTTCTATTTTTGAATAGGGTCGGTACTTTTAAGGAAAATAATAATAAAAACAAAACTAATAATATTATTGAATAATAATAAGATAATTATAACTTGACTTAACAAAGGTCTTGTCATTAATAAAATACAGATAATCACAATGTCAAACTTCTTTCTCTGCCCTAGTGACTGTCAGATTTATTTTGAAAAATTGCTACAAAATGAGATATAACCTCTTTAATAATGGACGAGGATATAAATTATTTTGTGAGCTATTAGTGCGGTACGATTCATTCTTTTAAGCGGAATATTAAAACGCACCATTGGATCTCCCATTACCGTTTCAGAAAAAACGGCATTGTGTTGCGTCAGCTAAGGGCGTCATTTCAATGACTTCCATGGTGGCCATGCTCCATTGAGCACGGTGTCTATATTCAATAGCATTGTGATAACGACCCATAAGAATATTTGTAGGGATATTAGCAATTTTTCGGAGTAACATAAATTTTGTGTTTAGTAAGCTTTTATCTAGTGTGAATGGGAATCTATATAATATATTAAAATTCTAACCGAGTAGAATCTGTACATTAAATATTTTTTGTAAAATCTTATTGAACTAGACATTATTATTGATACAGAGGTCGAATCTATAGTTTTAGATTTTTTGTCCGTCTGTCTGGGAACGCAACACGAGAAATCTACTGAACAGATTTTCATGAAATTTGGTATGCTGATAGCTGGTTATCCGGGTCAACATATAAGATACTTTTTATTGCGGGAAAATATCTCATCTCTGAGAAATCCAAAAACCGTTAAAACAACTCTAGGGACGACCCCGAGCGGAGCAAGGATGAGTCGTTAGTATAAGAATAAATGAGTAGAACAAATTTCATATTATTAAATTTTATAAAACCGAAGATGATGGAGCTATAACTATATGTATAAGAATAATAATAAACTATGGAACTAACTAAATTTCCTATAGTAATTTAGTAATTAATTAAATCAACAATAGTAATTTAGCTAATATTTGTATATAATATACGTAAGAAGAACAAAGGATAATTATATATATCTAAAATGAATATTTTATTATCACCATTATTATAAGTCAACTTCCCATAACATGATTGTTTCTTCAATTAAAACTCAGAGATTTCGCCGAAGCAGGCAGTGTATTTTGTAAATATACCTTCAGGCCAATTGTCGAAAACGTGAACTGCTATGTCGCCGGCCGAGTCCACCGGACTAAACACGAACTCCTTTGTTTTGCCGGACACGAGGATTAATCGCAGGTTTATCTGGAACAAACAATCACCAGTGAGTTAAATGCTATATATGTACCTATGTATTTCTATCTATACGTATAATAAAATTGTAACTAAGCCGAATCTGTACATTAAATATTTTTTTGGAAAATCTTATTGAAATAAACATTATATCGATACAGAAGCCGAATCTATAGTGTTTTAGCATTTTTGTCTGTCTGTCTGTTACCGCATCACAGAAAAAACACTGGAGGGATTTTGATTAAATTTGGTATGGTGATAGCTGGTTATCCGGGTCAACATATAGGATACTTTTTACCGCGGGAAAATATCTAATTTCTGAGAAAAATACAAAAACTGCAATGTAAGAGTATACTAATATGTAAAACCTAAGAATTTGGTTTTTCTCATCTGAACGCGAGCGGAGCCGCGTGCAATGCTAGTTTACAATATATTTTAATACTATTGTACGCAAAACAAAAATGGTTTTGCTTACGATTGTACGCCGTACAAAGGTTAGTGAGAAAAAAAAATCAAATACAGAAGTTTTAACTTCAATATTCTCGCTATTTTTAAATATTCGCAGTACATAGAACGAATAGTGTACATAGTATATACATAAGTATTTTTATAAGTTAACATTTTTTCATTGATTATTCACATGCGCCATACATCCGCATTTAGAATTACCTACTTTTTTAAATACAACAAACCTTTGAAAAGTTACACAAAAAAAAGAACCAAAATACAGTCACGAGTTCTTCATATTGAACCTCATAGTAAAGTAGGTCACTTTCTTTTCATGGTTGCCATTTAAATTAATTGTTAAAGCTGCTGAGCTGATAAATTTCAGTCACGTCACACTTCACTGGACTACTTTTAAATGTGAAATGATCACTGTTATACAGTTGTAAAGTTTTTTAAAAATTGCTTGGAGAGTTTTATTAAAACCTAGCCGTCAACGACTTTTTGTATGTTTCATATGAATTCATAAGATATAAAAATGTGTAAGGAGGTTCGTCATTTTTGAAGTTTGAAATATGGAAATTGATCCAGATATGCTAATAGGAAATCCTATCCGCCTCAGTAGTGCTTGTAAATGTAAAATTTTGGATGTTGCTACTCATTTACTAGTACTTTGTTGGACCTTTGGCTTTGTATGAAAATGTTATATGTTATGTCCTAGAAACATACGGTAGTTACTCTCTCAGTACATAATTATTATTGTTATTTTAAAAACACATGATTTTTAAACCTAGCAATAGACGATGCTGTCAACGTACTTTAAAAAAAAAGGGGAAGGAAACTTTTTTCGCGCGATGCAACAGTCATACAGTAGTATACCTTTTTAAATAATATAAATTATATTAAGGGTAAAATTTTATCAAAGAAAACATGAATAATGATAATAATAATAATAAATATGCGACCTCTCTGAACAAAGGTAGTCAATAACAGATTATCAAACTTCAGTCTGACCTTATTTTACCTTCATTTTGGATTATCTAAATTCAAAACAAAATATAGCTTAAAGCCTTGCGCTTAGAGCATTGATCGAGTAATCTCCGGGATTTCATTTCGTCTCGTACCTTAGACTCGCTATACAAAACTTTAATAAACTGTTTAATCTTGTACAAAAAGATTACAATCTTATCGAATTTAGATTTATTTAATCATTTCTTTCTCAAGGGTCGTAGACTTGAAGTAGTATTTATATGGTTATTGGTTATAGTATTTCAATTTCAACATTATCAATAAAATTATAAATGTATACCTATAGTTTGCTAAAATCATTTCAATTACTAAATGTTAAAAGTACTTAATATGATGATGATGATGTTATCCTAGCCGATTCCGGCTACGGCGGCCGATCTCATTGAGAATAGCCAACTGCGCAGGAGATATTATAGTGCACAAGTGTACGCGCAGACACAACGTGCACTCTCTATTCCTGTCGGTGGGACGACTGCTCGACACGACCACTGAGAGTTCAGGCGCAGGACCGACGGCTTTACGTGCTCTCTGAGGCACGGGGGTGAAACACCGCCAACTTCCCAACTCCGACCTGTTACTGAGACTTACTATACAGAAAGTCTCAATAACTAAACTTGGCCCGACCCGGGACTCGAATCCAGGACCTCCGGGTGTGCAGCCGTACATGCTAGCCACTACACCATCGAGGCAGTTGTACTTAAGATATAGGTTATATAAGAAGTTATGTCTAGGTATATATTATACGAAAGTTAGCGCTGTGGATAATTGAAAATATTTCCAATCCTCCGGCTCTACCGGATAGTATATTGAGTGCCCGTTATGAACGGCGTAAGCTCGTTTACTCGCTTGGCATCAACATTCACGTGGGATTTACCATATTATAGTAAAAAATATATTAAGGATTTATTATTGTAAACATGAAAACAACTTATAGTGCAAAAATATAAAAAAATAATAGCAAAATAAAGCTAGGAGAACAAATCCCTTATTTTCGCGAACAAAATGTATGAAAAACAAATAAACGTAGGTATCTACTATATAAAGTATAATAAAATCATAAAAATCTATGAATATATTAAAATTTGTTATGCTACGAAATTTTGTAAAACAAAAAACAACATAATATTCGACCCTGCCAGGATTCGAACCTGGAATCTTCTGATCCGTAGTCAGACGCGTTATCCGTTGCGCCACAGGGCCTGTGATTATAGTTACAAAATAAGTCAACTTAATTGTGTTAAAAGAAGTTGTTACAATCATACATATTGTAGTATATATTCAACTAGCGACTCCGCTCGGGTTTCTCTCTATAAAAAAATAGTTATATTTATAGTTAAGTTTTAACATTTAGTAGAAATTTCTCAATGATGAGATATTTTCCCACAGTACAAAATATCATATCCCGGATGTGTTTATCCCAGGGTTTTCTCTTGATGAGTTCCCAGATAGACAGACAGACAGACAGACACAAATATTCTAAAAATTATAGATTCGGCCTCTATATCGATAATAATGACTATTTCAATAAGATGTTCCAAAAAATATTTAATCTACAGATTCGACTCAGAATTTTATTATATGTATAGATTATCATCTTATTTTTGATAACAAATATCTGTACATTTATAAAAACTGACTCTACATATTTTGCAGTGCTACATCAAATAAATAAACACAAATAAAAACGGCGTGCTCATCTAATAATTAACTGGAAAAAGAATTTCGTCTGGCTTAGGGATGTAGTAAAAAATTTCATATTTTCGTTTAGGTTTTTTAACGAGTATAAATAGCTGTTGTCTGCGTTACCAGCGCTAAGGGAAACCGGGCACTGCGGCGGCCATATTTCATTTTTCCCGCCATTGGGACACCCGCCATTGTTATTCTTGCATCGCAGCGCTCGTGGAAAAAAATCATATTTCCCTTTGTGTTATTGCTGCCATTCAGCGCTTAGAAATAGAATTCCGCGTTACAAATAACTATTAAGTACATTAAAATCTGCTTGTATTGTACTTTTAATACAAGTGTTTACATTAAACAAACACACTGTAGCAGCCCCCTAATAAATAAATTATTAATGCAAAAAAAGATATTATAACCGACTTATAACAAAAAGCTTTAAAACCAACTTGCTTGTAGAACAATAAAAAACAATAATATAATATTTTGATTTTTGTAAAGTACTATATGGCGTGAGTATTATGTATTTATTTAGCACACTGTCATTTGACAGGAAGGTTTGAACCCGGTCACTTACTCTCGCCCACTAGTTGATAACGATATCTGCTATTCAGTGCATTTTCCGTTGGTTGTTTGTATTGTAAACATTTAATTATTATTTACATAATCTTATTGAAATAAACATTATTATCGATACCTACAGAGGCTGAATCTATAGTTTTTGGATTTTTGGTTGTCTGTCTGTCTGTTACCGCATCACTGAAAAACCACTAGAGGGATTTTGATGAAATTTGGTATGGTGATAGCTGGTTATCCGGGTCAACATATAGGATACATTTTACCGCAGGAAAATGTCTCATTTCTGAGAAAATATACAAAAACTGCAATGTAAGAAGAGCGTACTAATATGTAAAACCTAAGAATTTGGTTTTTGGTCATCTGAACGCGGGCGGAGCCGCGGGCAATGCTAGTCTTATATATAATAATAAAATTCTGAGTCGAATTTGTACATTAAATATTTTTTGGCAAATCTTATTAAAATAGTCATTATTATTGATGTAACAGAGGCCGAATCTATAGTTTTTAGGATTTTTGTCTGTCTGTCTGGGAACAACGCATCACGAGAAAACTACTGGACAGATATTGATGAATTTTGGTATGATGATAGTTGGTTATCCGGGTCAATATATAGGATACTTTTTATTGCGGGAAAATATATCATCTTTGAGATATGTATACGTACCGTTAAAACGTATCCAGGGATGAACAATAATTAAGTAATAAATTCTTTTCTAACCTAACGTTGACGTTTAGACAGCTTAGAATGACCAGGATGAGTGAGGTCTATACTCGTACATGTCTCGTGCCAATCAAAAGACGATTAAGCAATCATAGTCATGTCCAACGTTTTCCATATTGCATTGGACGAGGTTTTAAATTTCAAAACTACGTTTTACTCGAACGTATGCTGAAGCGAGTTTTCAACAATCTATTGTAACAAGAAGTAAAGTGAAAACTACGGAGGAAGACATAGACTGCATTGTTATTTGATTACTATTAGCATTCCTACATGTTAAAGTTTGGTTTTCAACTGATTGATTAATTGTAGCAATATCGATGTCTAACTTTAATTAAAACACAAAATTTAACATATTTTAGTAAAATGTACTTAGTTTGCACTCCACAACGACGTATTTTGTATGGATGGACCATAGTTTTTCTAGGATTGGATAAGGGAAAAGGAGTTGTAAAGTATCGAAAATTATCTACTAACGGATAGAAGTGAATTAAGTTGATAAACATAAATCATTAATAATATTTTAAATAAATCTATCTTTTCGGATTATTTCGCGGATTTATTTTGATTTATGGCTCAATAAATCCGCGAATTTAATTTTTTAATTATTTAAAATGTCAAATATTCGCGTAAATCTAAGAAAGTATTATTATAAATATTTTTTTGTTTAATACTAAAACCATTATTAAAACAAACATTATTATTTATAATGTAAACAAAAAGAAATATTCCCTTCTTATAATATTTATTGCAAAATTCCATAATACTTGAGAGCCCTTGCCCTTGCAAAGTGTGTGCAGTATTATTCTTGGGGACGGTTAATTTATTACCGAAATCTTTCGTAGAGACACTCCGAAAGTTATGTTTGGCCTCGTTCCCCTCTTATTGTAATGTTATTAAATTCCATACTAAGATAAATAGATATTGTTTAGTTTGGACATACTCGTAACAGGTAGGTTAGAGAATTGGGGCGATAGAAACAATAGACATGTTATTTCAACAAAATAATAGTTCCGTTCAAATATAAATCTGTTATAATACTTCTATTAATAACTCTCTTGCAGTCCAGACGTACTACGTGAGGTCGTTCGTTCGCTATCAGAAAAAGACCAACTCGTAACCAAGTTTTAATTAGTATCAAACATGGACGACGCTGAATTGGCTGCGATAGCGCACTATTATTTGCATTGTGAAAATAAGAAAGAGACGAAAGAAACGGTTTTAGACACAATAGATTACTGTATTATTTTAAAAAAATAAATTAATTAATATATTGGGACATTAACACACAGCACCATCTAGTTCCATGGTAAACTACTAGACTTGTGTTATGGATACCAGATAGTTGATACATTACACATATATATCTTTAAATACATACATATTATAAATATAAACACCCCTGACTGGAGTACAAACATTCGTGCTCTTCGCACAAATGAATGCCCCAGCGAGACTCGAACCCGCGACCGCTGGCAAAGCAAGTAAGGTTACTACAGACTGAGCCAAACGTGCCGACAATTTGACTGAATATTATAAACTTAATCGTACACATACACAAAATTAGTGCTTTAATTTCATAATTCATAACATTCAACAAAACAACATATTGCAAAGTAGTTTTGTAACAACCTTTTACTACAAATATTTTCTTTTATTATTTTGCTTTATCCATTTTAAATTTTCAATTTTGCCATGGAATCATGTTAGCTATGACAACTAATTCTTAATATAACCTGTTTAGAGAAAGATAAATATTCATAGAGATTTACAGATATTTAAATTTCTATTTGATTTATGTGTTCAACTTTAATGTTTTCAGGCAGAATGTTTAGTGAATAAACAGTGAACACGTCGTTTTCGATGTTTAGCAAAATATCATGTACCTGGAAAGTGACAGAATCGTTAATGAACAACAGCGAAGGTAATTACTGATTAATAATCAGTTTAGTAAAATAAATTATAATATAATTTTTAATTATAGAAAATGTAAATGAATAGAATGTTCTACGTTTTTTTGAAGTTATACTTCTTTGGCACGTTTGGAAAAAATTATGAGACTAAAATTTCTACGACGTGCGCGCACACCGACAGCTAAAAAGTGACATGATGAAGTTAGCTGACAGTGACATGATGAAGATAGCTGCATTTGTTTAACAAATAGAGAGTTGTGACATACGACATGAAATCTTTAGCTACTTCTGTTCTGTTACGCCAAAGAAGTATAACTTCTTATGTGCGTACATACTTGTAAATACACCCACACGTTTTTTATGATGTACTTTTGCGCATGCTCTGTAGTCAAACCCGTGCTAATCCCCGAAATATGTCAATACCAACCAATGTGCCGCTACGGCTCATTCGTAACGAAGTTTTGCTTTCCAATTTATGTTTTTGCAAACGTTGGCTATTTCTAGGTTGTGAACAGGGGAATGTTAATTAATTTATCTTCACACTATAGAGCTTTGCAATTAAATGCTTTTGAGCTTCCGGCTCTTTTGTTAGCATTTATTCGGTACACCAAAGAATTAATAAATATACATTCCTGTCATTATTGTTCTGTATGTTTTAATAGAAATTTATCAAACAAAGTGCTCCGACAACCATAGAATATACTTAAATGAATTTTTTAATCTTAATTTTATAATATATAGTACATGTTAAGGATATATTATGTACATAATATTTATGAAGTAAAATAGATTAGAGAGAGAGAGGTATGCTGATTAAATACTCTGCTCTACTTTTAACCTGATCAATCTAGTTATTTAGATATTTAAATATAAATCATTGCATTTATAGGAATTTATTAAGTCCAAGGTACCCGTTGCTCATTTATAATGTAAATATATATTTCAAATATTCAACACTGTCAGTAATTTATCTTTCAAATGAACTTCAAGATATTTTTATAATTAGCACCTGCCTACTATTAATCGAGCGTAAATATTGTATTTGTTAATCTAATTTTACTGGCAAAGTCTAGGTCTACTGATGTCGCGTTTTAAAAAATTGAATATAGTCCATACCAAGATCAACCAGGAGTCAGGAATAAGAATTTGATAGTTAGAACTGTAGTATTTGGTATTCAGTATGGTAAAAAACACTTGTTAGATATATAACGTATTGTTTATTCTAACATCTTATGCTTTAGATATAATATCTCAAAGCATTTTATGTGCACTCACCTTTGAATTTAAAAAAAAAGTTTTCATAAACCTTTAAATCAAAACGAGCAATTTATTAGGTCAATATTACAAACCAAACAGAGCCTTTACTAAAAGAATGTACACTAGACATACTAACATCTTTTTGCCTGAGTTATCCGAGGCAAAGTTGGTATGCACATTGCACGTAGTTGGCATAATGCCAGCGGTCACTCCCAACAACTAAGGAACTTCCGCACTGGCTATTATTTTTTGGTCGAATATATTTAGAAAATATTTTATAAAAAAATATATAAAGTAATACTATACAAACTCTACATTTATGTATGAATATTGTAAATGTGAAAGTTTGTGAGTTTGTATGGATGTTTGTCACTCTTTCACGCCAGAACGGCTGAACGGATGGGATAGATTATAGTCTGGAATAACAGACAGGCTACTTGTTAACCTGGAAAATTATACGGTTCCCGAGGGATAGATTTGTTTTTGTCTTTCTAAATAATAAATAAAGGTGACTTCGCCTGCATGTGTTACAAACCCTGAAAGCAGGAACCAAGTTTACTTCTTAAAACCTACGTAATTGTGTAAAAGCCAGTCAAGTTTTTCAAAGTTTCAAAGTTGTATACAATTCATGGTATCTGTCGAATATATATAAAAATTCGTAGATATGTTTATTAAATGCCACTCTAACAAACTGCCTAAGCATTCGCCCGCACTCAGCACTGTTGTTTCATATTCAAAGGAAATAGACATAATAGTGATCTATGAAAGCA